ACTAAAAAATTTCATTTTACATGAGGCTCCCCCCTTAATCTCAGTTTAGCTTATTTTTTATTTTCTAGTTCTAATTAGACACAGATAAAGAGTAAATTAAATCGAGATTAAAATGAATCTACATTAGTAGAAATAATATTATTCCAAAATGTAATTATAAAATGATAAGTAGCGCATTTTTGAGGAGATGGAATATTTATAGTCATTATTAATACATATTGGAGAAAGTAATATTTTTTATATGATTATAGATTATACAGAAAACAGGCTTTTTGTACAAATAAGAGTGTTATGTATTTTACTGTATAATTTTACTTATATAAATATTTCTTATAAACATATTTAACAATATCGAAAATTCAAGAAGCAAAAATAAGAAGCAATGAACAATAAAATGTTGGTAGAATATAACAAACAATGAATGCTTATACATGAGACAAGAAATAGATATTTTTATCTCCTATTCTCACTTTATTCTTCACCACGTTCAACACGTTTAGAGGCTTTGATTCATAAAATTATAACACAAAAAGATTTTCGGCAATGGCCAAATTAATAAGAAAACTTTCTACAGCCGGCGCCAAGTTTTTCTCTTTAAATATCTCGACGGATATCATTCTTTTGCCATCTGGAGTTTGCACTGTCGCTAATGAAGTTAATTGATTTAGAAGATCTTGCGTTTTGTCACTTATCTCGGATATAACTTGTGCTTCTGTGTAGTTTTGATTTTCACATAGTTGAACCATGAACAAGGCTATTTCCTTGTGGGTTTTCGTCATTGTAAGACTTTCTGGAAAAAAAATGAATAGAGATTATAGATCAGAAGACATATATTTTTTTCGTATCCATGAGACATTTTCATTGTAATCTTATGATGCATCATAAGACTGCAAGAAAGATAGATATGAAAATAAACGAAATAGACTATTTTCTTTTCCTTCTTACCTTTGGCGTGCGGTGCTACAGTAATTTCTCTAGCAGGAATATTTACAAGTAGATCGTACAGGTCTATCCTTGACGATATTGAACTATTACTACAGCCTGCCACATAGTGCGAATATTTCTATAACAATAATAATTATTATATATAGCAATGAAATTAAGAATGACATAATAATAATAATATCAATGACATAGTAATAATAATAATGTTTTGCTCCTGCAATCTATTCTGAGTAAAGAAATTACATCTTATTTATTACATTCTTACTATTAAAAATAATATATTCTTTAACGGAATACATGCCTTCAATTCAGTTAACTCATCGTTCACCAAATCAATCCAGGGAAAAAGATTGTCAGTAACTTTTCTGTGTTTCATTAATGCAGGAAATGTTCTTATCCACTTAAGAAGTTGCTCCAGGCTGTGATGATATACAATAATCTTCTTTTTTAATAAGAGAGCGGTATATATCAAAATTGTTTCTAATTCGAATGTTTTAATCAGCTCTTTGACATTGGTGCTAGCTGCAAAACGATGAGTATTAAAATCATCAGAGACAAATGTTCCGTTCTCTTGCGTCGAACATGATCCCTTTGTGAATACAGATAAATATAACTGTAAAATCTCTGTAGGCTTTCCAGTTTTGCAATACATCTTGCTAAGAACCCTTGAGAGCACTTCATACTTTTGTGGATTAAAGTCCTTTGCAAAAAGAACCAATGCAAATTGTTTTACCTGAGACAATTACGAGAGTTAACATTTAATACTTATACAGAATCTATATAAGAAAATATCTGATCTTTAATAAGAAAAGTTTAAGATATTTACCTTCGGTAGTTTATCAGAATCGAATACTTCGCTGCAATATATATAGAACCAATCGTGTCTATGTCTCGCACATACAAATACATGAGGAGATGTATGCTCCAACTTCAAATTGCATTTTCTTGTGACAACAGTCTTCTGAGATTCTGTAACAGCTGGATACGACCATGTCCACAAGACATCTCCATTACAGTCTTTCTCTGCAATTTTTATTCTTGATTATGTACAATATCTATTGTATATATATATATATATATATATATATACACTAGATATTGTACATAATCAAGAATAAAAATTGCAGAGAAAGACTGTAATGGAGATGTCTTGTGGACATGGTCGTATCCAGCTGT